ATGAGTCTTGACGAGTTTCAACTTTCGAGGTTTTTCGCCAGTGTTCAGTTCAGCCGCCACGTTTGTCTATTTCATAGCTCATATCTCCTGAATGATTCTGATAGTGGCATAAACAGTATACCCCAAACACCGTCTCTGAGCGTTTAGTGCCGTGGCTTCGCTTCGGCTGGCAAGAAATTCGCCGGACACAGTAGCTCGGATTCATTGGGCGGTTTTGGCTTTCGGTGTTGATGCTGTCCATCGTGCTCTCCATCTTTACGGGGCATAGCCTGACATTCTTCGCAGTTGACTTGTAGCTTTGGCATCCTCGAGACGGTTGGGGAAATCGAGCGCCGTTGGCGTGGGAGTTTGACAAAAGTGTGTTGATCTTGGATCGTGCCAGGCTCAGCTAGGGTTGAAGCTAAACCCCAAGATGCACAAAACCTTTGGCCATCAAACGCTCACCTCACCATGTGACCTATACCGGTAGATCAAGCTCCAAAGCTGCGAAAGCCGCCTGTTTCTTTGCACCATGGCCTTCGACACCTTTGTGCGTTTGTGGGTGATCTCAGAGGCAGCACACAACTTGCACGATCTTTTCCTAGCGCCCCACATCTGGTGGATCTATGCACAGGCACCCCTTTTCGTAGCGGCCTTCATCTTCCCCTCCAGGCTGACAGCTGTCCTGGCGCTGGTCGTACGTGGGGCGATGTACTGTGTTAAGGCGCCCTACATCTGGGACTCGTGCGTATGGGCGATGTTCACGGATGCTGCCTTTGTAACAGCGGTGCTTCTCTACGAGAAGAAGGACGCCGTGTACGCTTGCGCGGATTTGATCCGTGTGCAAATGGGCCTGTTTTACTTCGGTGCCGGCTTTTGGAAGATCAACGAGGCCTTTCTGGATCCACGGGTGTCATGTGCATCCTTTTTCGTTGCATCACTGCTCTCATTCTTCCCTGATGATCTTATCCATCGTATCCCTGGTGGCGTTGGCCCGCTGCTTGCCTACTCACCGCACTTGACGATCGCCGGGGAGATGGTCCTCGGCCTCTGCCTTCTCGCCCCGAGCCGCACGGCACACGGCGCAGGAATCCTGCTGGCCGGGCTGCTACACTACTCCATCGCAATCACTCCCTTTCCCAACCAGGTGCCGACATTTGGGGTCATTTGCATCACTCGGCTTTTCTTTGTGATGCCGGACGCGTGGGTTGCCGCGTGCGGAGAGTTTCTGGCGCTGCCGCAGACAACAAGCGGCCTGGTGCTTCGCATCTGCATGGGAGCGCTGGTTGCTGGATCGGTTCGTTTCACTTCTATGTCGCTTGGAGAAAGAGGGGCCTACCGGTATACCGGGCACCCCGAATCCCAATCAACCTAATCTTTCAAGAGGATCGTTGAACAGAGTACATGTTTCTTTTTGTTTGCTTTCAGAGCCTAGGCCTGGATTCTTTCTGGACTGGTGCCTCCCGGTGCAGACTGCCCTTTGCTTCCTGGGTGCCCGAGCCGTAACCATCGGATCTCCGCCGCCCAAGGCCAAGGCTCCGGCCTCAAAAGGGATACAGCACGCAGTGCTCTGGATCGCTGGCTTTGTGCTCTTGCTCATGACCCTTTCCTATGTGTTCCTCTTCCAGCTGTTGGGTATTCTGGAAGTCTCTGCAGTGGCACCCTTCGCTGTAATCCGTCAACATGGAGGATCCAACCACCTCTTCATGCCGACGTCCTTGCTCCAGCAGTGGGAGAGCACATCGCACCTAGACAAGTTCGGTGGCGGCATCGTGCGTGTTACAGAATGCACAAGCGATTACATGAATGCCATGTATCCATCCAATTGTACGGATGCCCTGCCCGAGCGCGTCGTCGCCCTTCTGAGGGAGGGGGGTCATATCGCACAGCAATTCGCACCGACAGTAAACCTAATGCTTGGGCCGGAAATCCGAGCCAAGATACCACACTGGCAGCCATCAAGCGGCGTTCCGTTTCCCTCATACACAGTGCCGGCTCTGCAGCTTCGGAGGATGGTGGCCGAGGCACGTGCAACCAACGAGAAGTTCACTCTGGAATATGAGCACTTGCCCGGTCGGGTGGGCGATGAAACTTGGCGCCAGACCGCCGTTGCATCCTGGGTTCGCCTGGAGGAGGACGGGAAAGGTGGTCGACAGTGCCTTATGCGCCGAGACGCCAAGGCTGCTTGGACGCCGTGTTCCCAAGACGAGCTGGTGCTGCAGCCAGCCCCTGAGGGACTGCTGATGAAGATCATGCTTTTCTTCCCGTATCCAATCATACCAGGTTTGGACACACTGCCGTGCCTGGACTGAGAGTCTGAGGCCGAAGTGCGGGCTTCGTTAGCCCCAGCAGAAAGTGTCGTACCCGACGTTCGTTATTCTTGGCAGTATGCAACGGTCTGTAGACTCGCAGCACACATCTCTTGAAGGGAGATTTGCCTTCCTCAGGAAGGTAGGCGCGATGTAAGATGTATGTATCAATGACAGTGTTTTCGGGCAGTCTGTGATCATGCGAGTGCTCTGTATGGAAACGCACACACACACATACACATGTGCATGCATGCATGCATGCATGCATGCATGCATGTATGCATATATCTATATACACACACGATATGTGCGCTGGGAACAAAGAGGGTGTACTATAATGCTGCATTATGCCAGGCGGGGGGTGTTCTGACTCCTGACTAGTAGATAAGCATGCATGCGGGCGTATGTATGCATATCTGCCAAGCAGCCAGTCTTCCAATTGAGCTAACCACAAAAGAGATAGGCGACAGAATAATTGAATGCATACGCTGTCAAACCAAGAGAGGTAACAGATAGCGTTATGCAAGTACAAACAGGCACATCTGACAACTACAACTAAAGAAAGAAAGACCATGTAAGACACATAGATCACATACATGCACATGCGACAAAAGCAACCAACCAAACCCTTATCCATACATGCATGTCGGCATACATCCATCCATACATACATAATTACATACCTACATACGCACATACATACATACATACATACATACATACATACATATTAACATTCACACGTACATATGTACATTTACATTACATCAGTGCAAGGATAAATAGCTAGCTCACCCTCTCGCTCTCTCTCGAGCTCTCCCTGTCCCTTTATTGGTTTTTTGTGTGTATATTCACGGCAGATCTATCTGTAGTCTTGTGTAGATGTGTATGTATGTATGCATGCATGCATGCATGCATGTATGAATGTATGCATGCATGTATGTATGCATGCATGCATGCATGCATGCATCATGTATGTATGTATGTATGGATGTATGTATGTATGTATGTATTGTACGTGTATGTAATGTATGTTATGTTGTGTTATGTTATCTTATGTTATGTTATGTTATGTTATGATCTGTTATGTTATTTTATGTTATGTTATGTTATGTTATGTTATGCTATGTTATGGTATGCTATGCTATGCTATGTTATGTCATGTCATGTTATGTTATGTTATGTTATGTTATGTTATGTTATGGTATGCTATGCTATGCTATGCTATGCTATGTTATGTTATGTTATGTTGTGTTATGTTATGTTATGTTATGCAGTGCAATGCAATGCAATGCAATGCAATGCAATGTAATGTAATGTAATGTAATGCAAGGTAAGGTAATGTAATGTATTGTATGTGTATGTAATGAATGAATGAATGAATGAATGAATGAATGAATGAATGTATGTATGTATGTATGTATGCATGCATGCATGCATGCATGTATGTATGTATGCATGCTACAGTATGCTATGCAAGTTATTTATGTATGTATGTATGCATGCATGTAGGTAAGTAGGTAGGTAGGTAGGTAGGTAGGTAGGTAGGTAGGTAGGTAGGTAGGTCTGTACGTATACGTATGTATGTAGAGATATGCTTTTTTGACCCTCTCTTCATGAAGTTGACTTTGTCTGCCCACGCCCGCGCCGGAGCCAAGCAGAGTTCGATGAACGCGGGCGAGCTTGCCGCGCGACCGGGGGGGGGAGGGGCGAGCAGGAGCCACGCGGCCACCGGCCAGGCCGAGATGGAAGTGTCTCACGGAGTCCTCAGTTCAGGATCTATGGTCTTTAGGCTCCTAGGGAAGGGTTTTTGACGTTGAGCCATTGCCACATACAGTACCTCTGCCTGATAAATCAGGCCACCGACAAGACTTGGAATTTGGGGCTAGCGAGAGGCTCACCTACTTATTCACGCGTCTGCTTCCGACTTCGTCGGACGATGTTCCCTCGTGGTATCCAAGGCCTTTAGCAGTATCAGCGGCAGGGACTACAGCTGCAGTAGGTGAGTTGTGCAGGGCTGAGCAAGCAGTAGTAGCAGCAACAGTAGCAGTAGCACAGCAGCAGCAGTAGAAGTAATTAGCAAAAAATGCTAACACTAATGCTTAGTAGTAGGAGCAGGCGGAAGATGAAGAAGGAGAAGGAGGAGGATGAAGAGGAGGAGGAGGAAGAGGCGGAGGAGGCGGAGGAGGAGGAGCAGGAGGAGGCTGAGGAGGACGAGCAGCAACCAGCATGTATTTTACACTGGTTTCTTGTTCTTCTTGCCACAGTCTTGAGGTTTGTTACGTATCGTGCTGTTTTTGCTGTTGTTTCTTGAACTGCTGCTACTAGTGACTACTTCATCACGAAAACCCGAGCCCAGTTTTCCAGGTAGCCGAGAGCGCTCTTTGCGAGCCTGCCTGCGAGCATGCAGGCAGGTTATGCCTCTGTGGCTGTAGACACCATTTAAGGGGTACAGAGTCGAAGAGTTGAAAGGTGCTGGAACAGGCGAGGTTGGCGCTGTGCAGGTTACATGGTCTCTGTGGTTGGAGCCGACCTTTCTGAATGTACCCTTGGTCAGTATTTCGGCTCTTTGCAGTCTTGCTGCCTGAGCGGTCCTCAAGTTCGCCAGCTGCCCAGCACTACATCCAAAAAGCACCGGCAAACTCCAGCATTTCGTAAAACCCAACGGCATCGGCATTCGTTTCTTGCCCAAAGCTGGCAAGAAGCTCGCACATGAGAAGCTGCTGTGATGTCTTCAGGCAGCATGGTTTTGTGTTTTGTTTGGGTCTGGACGACTAGCCTGAGACTGCTTCGAAATTTTAGTCATAGCCTGACGAACTAGGACTAGGAATCTCTCACAGGGCAACTTCACATTTTGGCCCTGATTGGTTTCTGTCGCGATTCTTCTGTGCGCGTCTCGGCAAGCTTCGGTTTCAAGGAGCTGCCCCAAGCACCGGAGTGCTCAGCCCCTTCACCCAGACTCAGACCCGCCACCTTAAACTTAAACCAGCTGAGTAGAGCTGGTGCAAAGATCGGGTTTCATTTTAAGAGTTGAGTGTGGTTATGAGTCTGTGCAACTGCAAGTGACATTCAATAAGCTACTGCCTACCTACCGGCCTACCCCCACCAACCACCGACCTACCTGACTACTACCACCCAACCGCTCAGCCTACCCACCTCAATCTCCACCTTCCTACCTTCTTACCTACCTGCCTCCTGCCTACCCACCCTGCCTACCTGCCTACCTACCTACCGACCGACCGACCGGCCGGCCGACCTTCCTACTACCTACCTATCTACCTGCCCACCTGCTATCGATCCATCGATCCATTTGTCCATCCATCCAGCTTCCATCCATCTATCCGTCTATTGCCCACCTACCTATCGATCCATCGATGTATCGATCATCCATCCATCTATCCGTCTGTCAGGCTATCCATCCATCTGTCCGTCCAACAATCACTCAATCACTCAATAGATCATTCGATCACAATCAATCAACCAGTCAATCAAGCAAGCCAGCAAGCTGGAAAGCTATCTACCTATCTGTCTATCTGTCTGTCTATCTGCTTATATGTCTATGTATCTATCGAACGTATTACAAACATGTTGCAACATAGGTCGGCAAAGATCCAGTGAACACATCAGGCACGCAGCATACGTGCATGTACACGTGCACGACTGCCCTGGACACCCTCCACTATTTCCGAAAGTTGTATCAGAGTCCTGTGACTGCTGGGCCAGGGGTCGCAAAGAAACGCTGGACCACTCAGGGAAGTTCGGTCTCGGGACGGAAGATGAGGCTGGGAGCTTGAGGGCCTTCAGGGTTTGTCCCCCTACTTACTACTACTACTGCTACTGCTGCTGCTGCTGCTACTACTACTACTACTACTACTACGACGACTACTTAATCTACTGCTGCTGCTGCTGCTAACTGCTGCCGGTCCTAGTACTGCAGCCACTACACGTAACATTGCAGAGAGAGAGAGAGAGATTCTTCCGCATGGGTCCGCTCTGTGTTAGTCGGCGTTGCCTGCCAGCTGAACCAGGCAGCCTCTTCGCTGTGGAAGGAGGCGGATTCCGTTGTACAGGCTGCGACTTGGCTTGCAGTTGTTGCCTTTCGCGTTATGGGACGGCGGTTCGACCCTTGCTACAGCCATGTGTGACTAAACCCGATGCGTCTAGAGGTTTCAGAACTTCTGGCATGGTAATGCAGCCGTTGATGAAGTCGAGCGTGCAAACAGGTGACGGACGAGGTGGTTGACATTTCGTGGAAGCTGCAGAAGGCCCATCAAGCTTTCTATGATTTAATTATGTATGCAGATCGACTTTAGATTCTGGGCAGATGGAGCGGCTGCGGTGGTTGTTGTTGTGGTGGACAATCGGTGGGGCTCGGACAGCTTCGCATAAGGCAGCACTGTTCGAATGGTTGCAAGAGCCAGTTGGCAATGCACATCATGGCTTCTTTACCGACAGAGCCGCAGCTCTTAATCTAAACCCCAGCTTCAAAGCTCGAAGGCAAATGGTCAAAGCTTTCAGCCGTCGTCAGGGTCCCTTTCAGGGTCCTTGTCGTAAGGGTGCCGTACTCTTTGGGGGACTTAAAAAGGGACCCTCCTTTAGAGAACTACCCACATGAGCCTGCACTCCCATTCCCTGAGTCCCGAACCCCTGGGAGGCGCTTGGGGCAAAGCCTTCCATGGCGAGTCAACTTCTTAGCCGCGTGGTGAGGTGCAGTCGGGGAGTTGGGGGCAGATCTTGGGACGAGGCTTAGGACAGAAGAGGGTCTCATCCCTGTACCACGCTCAGAGCGCAGTGGACAGCAAGCTGTGACTCCCCCATTCTTGATCGTTGTTGTTCAACCCTAAACCCTAAATAAACCCTAAACCGTTTGTTGCTCCTGTAGTTAGGGCCCCTGTACAATGCAATCCCCCTGGAGTTTTCCTGCCAGGCGCATGGGAGACGACGTTGCTTGGCAGAAGAAGCTTCATCCCCCAAGCTTCACACCCCAGGCGAAACCCTGGCTAAGTTTCTACCATAAATTATGTACTATACACAATATTATACATATTTGTTATCTCATGTTATGTATATATATATATATATATATATATATTTGTATATATATATATATAATGTTAAGCAGATGTGACTCCTATCGCTCTCAGCTCTGCGTGAGCTCGTGGGATCAAAGAGCTGCATATGCTGCTTTGTTTTACGGCATGATTTCAGGGATGTAGGCTGAAAGCATGTGCATGTACATCGTACCATTTCTATGCTATGGTAGATTGCTGTAGATAGCAGATGTGACTTGCAATACCTTGCCCTTCGCAACCTGTGCTGCGTATGTCGCTAAACAGTGGTATGAGCCAGTAACGAGCCCTCAAAAAACCCGAGTTCAGGATGGAATGAACATCACTCTCCGCCGCGTCCTCGACGATGACCATAGCACCTCCCAGGATGAGGGCCCATGGCTCAGCGGCCACCAGTGTGAGGGGATGTTGTCACAGGGAAGAAGCTTACTTGGTTGTTGATCTAAAGCTCCTTGAGCCATAATCTAAAGCTCCTTGAGCCATAATTTATATGAGCGGCCAACTGCATAGCTACATATGCCTTCGCGAAAGTTCCGCGATGGTGCCGCTAAAGTTACTTTTCTTTTTGCGAAAGTTATCTGTTTAGCCTACTTGCCGTATTATCAACTGTTACTATTTACCATTGCTATTACTGTTATTATTGCTATTTCTATTCACAATTACTACTACTGCTACTACTAGTACTGGTACTAGTACTACTACTACTACTACTACTACTGCTGCTACTACTACTACTACTACTACCACTACTGCTGCTGCTACTACTCCTACTACTGCTACTGCTACTACTGCTATTGCTACTACTGCAACTACTACTATACAAGACTGTAACTGTTACTGTTATTTCTACTGTTACTAGACATAGTACTAGTACTGGTACTGTTACTAATGCTGGTACTGGTACTAGTACTAGTACTATGACAACAAATACTAGTATTACTGTTCCTATTGCTTGCTATATTGTTAATCTTGTGAGTCTGTTACGATTATTACCGTTATTACCATTATTACTACCACCACAACCACTTCTCATGCTCTTGCTTTGCAGTTACTACTCCCGCTGCTGCTACTACTACCGCTCCTACTGCTCCACCTGCCATACCTACTACCCACCGCCGACGGCTACTAGCTACCTCCCACCTCTTACGTCCTGCTTATTGCTACTACTCCGGTTCACGCTATGTGCAGTGCCTCGTAGCACCATCGGTCCTAAGTGTAAGCAACGACAAGCCCAAAAATTAGGTTCCTGTGCTGGGTTTTGCGCGTAAGTTCCGCGTAACTGACGTTAAAGTCGACATTGCCAGATCAGGGCCACAGTCCGATGGACATCGACAGCAATCCAACCCGCAAGACAACCCGAAGCCGCTCTACAGAAGCCTTGAAGCTGGTAGGAAAGGCTCCCAGAAACTCTCAACTGATTAGGCCCCCAAAAGCTTTGCAATCGAGAAGCTTTCAACTTAAGACGGCCTTAACCAGCCCTTTCTATCTATTGTGGCTTTCACGCAGCCCTGAAGCGTCTAGGAAGCCTGCCTGCCAAAAGCTCTTACTTCTAATTCCTGTAACAACATGTCATCGAGAAGCTTGTAGCCTATGGCTCAGGGTTCTAACTTGCAAAGGTATGTAAATATACCTTCGCGAAAGTTCCGCCAAGGTGGCCCGAAAGTTACTTTTTTTAGTCGTGAAAGGTCATTCCGGGATGAAAATTATTCGTTTTTGAGAGTAGGTTGCTGAGGTTGAGTTTCAAGTTGGAATCGGCCGGTCTTGCTAAAAGCACTTGTCGCTCTTCTGCAGGAAACCTCCCCTACCAAAACTCAGGGAGGCGCATTCAGATGCTTTCCCACAAGCACAGGCACCCAATTGCTCAGGGCCTTGCAAGCCCCTGTCACCAGGTCCGTTTGTCAACTACGAGCCGGCGCGGCTCCTGCTCTCCGAGACGCTGCAGCAGCTGCACCTTCAGGCCGGCACGGGGAATCATGAGCGGCTTCGCTGTTGGAGGCTCTTTAGTTTTCGGTAGTTTCGCAGAATCGGGCTGCAGCCTCGCGACCGACAACCGAAGATCGCAAAATTGCAAGGGAACCCGTCGACCCTATTTCGCAGGATCACAGCCAGGTTGCATTTTGCACATGCTGATGTGCAGCCTTCATAGGCGATGCTGCAACTTTATCCCCGACTCCAGAACCCCAAGATAGCTCTCGTTTCTCTGAAGTGGCAGGTGCAGGATGAGCGCGGACGTGACGTCGAGAAGGAAATGGACCTGGCGGAGGCCGAGAGCCACGACACAGCAGCAACAGCGACATCATCACGACGACGAAGACGACGACGAAGGCGGCGACGGCGATAGCGACAGCAGCAAATGCTTGCAGCATAGTAAAAGGCAATGCGTGAACTCTTCTGGTGTCCATGACTGCGCTGGTGGTGGATGTGTGGTGTTGCTGGATCTTGTTGAGTGGGCCGTGCAAGGATGCACAGCGTCGTATGGCAAATTGGTACCCTTAGCGCGAATTGCGCGAATGTTGCAGCACCCCTGTGGAGAGCCCTGCAATGAACCCGCGAGGATGTGCGAGCCTTCCTGGCGGGCTCCCTGTATCCGCAAGGTGGGCGCATCGTGCTCTGGTTAAGGCTTCAGGATGCGCAGGGGTTAGGATTTATATAGGATATAGGGCAATATACAGTGACAGCCGAAAAGTTGGAAGATGCACACCCAAAATTCCCGCACCCTCTGATTGGGCGAAAACGCATCTTCCAACTTTGGGTTCTTCCAACTTTGGGTTCTTCCAAGTTTGCAATCTTCCAACTTTGGCTTTGCACAGGAGCTGGAACAAGAAACTTTGCGGCAAGAAAGTGACGAGGGGCAACAGCGGATGCCCAAAAATTGAACCCATATGCGAGCCAACAGCAAGCAAACACAACCAA